ATGGTGACAAACTAGTGAGGTACAAAGCTCGATTGGTAGTAAAAGGTTTTTCTCAGAAATCAGGCATCGATTTTGATGAGATTTTTGTTCCAGTTGTAAAAATGAGTTCTATTCGAGTGGTACTAGGATTGGCAGTTAGTTTAAATCTTGAACTTGAGCAACTTGATCTTAAAACTGTATTTTTACATGGTGATTTGTAGGAGGACATTTATATGAATCAACCTGAGGGTTTTGAAGTGAAAGGGAAAGAGCATTTAGTTTACAAATTGAAGAAAAGCTTGTATGGCTTGAAACAAGCTCCGCCACAATGGTACAAGAAGTTTGATTCTTTTATGGTGAGTCATAGCTATAAAAGAACATCAACGGATTCTTGTGTGTATGTTAAACAATTTCCTAATGGTAACTTCATTATCCTATTATTATATGTTGATGATATGTTGATTGTAGGACAAGATGATAGTATGGTTTGCAGGTTGAAAGAATAATTGTCTAAGTCCTTTGATATGAAAGATTTAGGTCCAGCAAAGTAGATTCTTGGTATGGACATTATCCGGGATAAGAGAGCTGGAAAGCTGTGGTTGTCACAAAAAAAGTATGTTGAACGAGTGCTTGGTAAATTCAACATGCAACATGCTAAATCAGTTAGCAGTTCACTTGCCAACCATTTTCATCTAAGTAGGAAATCTTATCCAGTGTCTAAAGAAGAGCAACTAGCTATGTCTAGTATTCCTTATTCTTTTGTAGTCGGTTTTTTAATGTCTCTTATGATTTATACAAGGCCTGACATTGCTCATGCAATTGGTGTAGTGAGCAGATTTTTTTCTAATCCAGGGAGGGTTCACTGGGAAGCAGTGAAATGGATTTTTAGATATTTGAGGGGTACCTAAAAAATGTGCTTAACTTAAAAAGTTTCACAACCAGTTCTAGAAGGGTTTACTGATGCTGACATGACAGGCGATCTTGATGGTAGAAAATCTACTTCAGGGTATTTGTTCACTTTTGCAGGAAAAGCTATATCTTGGCAATCTAAGTTGCAGAAGTGTGTTGTTTTGTCAACTACAGAGGCTGAGTATATTATAGCAATCGAAGCATGTAAAGAAATGCTTTGGATGAAACGTTTTCTTCTTGAATCGAAGTTGAATTAGAAAGAGTATGTGATATTTTGTGATAGTCAGAGTGCTTTAGATTTGAGTAAGAATACCATGTACCATGCTAGAACAAAGCACATTGATGTTAGATATCATTGGTTACGTTCAGTGATTGAAGAACAGCAGATGTTATTGAAGAAAGTCCATACTGATAAGAATGTAGCAGATATGTTAACTAAGATACTTCCCAGGAAAAAGCTTGAGCTTTGCAGTAACTTGGCCGGAATGAGTTCCCTGGCCAAAGTAAGTTTCAAATGAAACTGCTATGCTGATGAATCTCCTCTTAATGGAGCTGGAGGGCGAGATTGTTAGAAAAATGGGGTCCAGTCCCATGTAAGTGGTTTTGGACCAAATAAAAGCCATGGGCCTTAATCTTTTATTTTACACAGAGTCCTAGCTACTTAATAAAAAAGAGGTGAGGTTGTTTTAGGAATGTGTCGAAAACCAAGCAGAAAAAAAGAAAAACCAAGAAAAGCAGAGAGAGAAAAAGGAGAAGGGAGAGTTGGTTGAACGAAAGTCGATCCGTGGTCCGATTGAGTTGGAACCTTGTCAGGAGATTTATGATTCAGAGTTCTACATTTTGAATGGTGAAGATCGGGTTTGAAGCTCTCTAGGAACAAATCCAGGATGTATTTGTTGAGTCACTTATTTGGTGAGATTTCTCCAATTGTTTCTCTAGTTGTTGATTAGCTCTAGTTTTAGCTAGAGAAGAACTTTGTATAACTATTATTTGATAGTGAAGATTTTTTTGGTGGCCCGTGATTTTTTTCCTCTACATTAGAGGATTTTTCACGTAAATCTTGATGTGCTTTATTTTTCTTGCGTATTTGATTATTAATTGTTGTCTATTACTTCTGTATTATTGTGATTATTGCTTCAAGCGTAATAATTATTTGCATCATACTCGTATCATTATTAAAAGAGACTGACTTTGAATCTGTCACACTTTATCCGCAAATTCCATCATACTCATTTGCTAAGATAGTTGCTATCATCTATTGATTTTGACTTCTTGATCAAGAACTCAGATACATGGCTGAAAACAACACTGGTATCACTTATGCTTTCACTGAACGAGAGATTTTAGCTGTAAAGTATGGTATCCAAAGATTTGAATTTCACCTCATTGGATTTCACTTTCTCGTGGAATTAGATATGTTAGCCTTTGATCAGATGCTCAGTTGCCAGAGCCTTGGCCGTACTACCTGCCGCTGTGTATAAATGGTATCAGAGCTATGTGTATAAATGGTATCAGAGCTATGTGTATATGTTCAAGCCACAAACTTTGATCAATGTATTCTTCCAGCAGGACCTCAAGAGCACTTTGTTACTCTTCAGATCCCAGAGAAGGTTTGAGAGGGTGGTTTGTTTTTCTTAGGATAGATGACATAGTAGTCAAACTTTCCTGAGGGTTCACCAAGGAGATCAACTTCAGGGTCTCCATTTTTATATCTTTCTTTGAGCTTTTGCTGAGAAGACTTTTTCTTCTTTTGCTTCTTTGGAATATTGCGATGCCATTTAATTGGGATGCCAGCAAAAGGTTCGGCAACATTTTGTCTTTTTGTTTAAAAAATCAATACAAGTACAGCTAATTTTTCTGGTAAAGAGGGAGTGAAATAAGAAATTCTCAATATAGTTTAGTTTTCAGTTTCAATTTACATGTATATAATATTTTAAGATTATATTTGATATATAAGATTATGATAAAATAAAATAAATAATAATATGAATAAAATTAAATTAAATAATATCATCTTTATTTAGTATCTAATTTAAAATTAATTAACTATAAGTAGAGGAACTCAGTCTAAATATAAAATTTATTAGATGTAAAATAATTCACTTTAATAAGCTCACATCATATGTAAACGAAGATGAAAGAAATTGTGTAGACAAAAATAAAAGAAGCGTACTACGTGATAAATTTGAGATAACCCACTTTAATAGGCTCTCATTACGTATACGTGAAGATGAAAGAAGCTGTATAGACATAAATGAAAGAAGCCTATTATGTGACAACGTGACAGATTTGAGATAACCCATTATAACAAGCCCCATTAAGTGTAGGTGAAGATGAAAGAAACTGTGTAGACAAAGATGAAATAAGCCTATTACATGACAGATTTAGAAAATATAACAAAAAAAAATTTTGACTCTGATACTTTATTGAGCAATGGAAAGAAAATCTTGACTTTAATAACATGTTAAGTATCCAACTTAAAATCAATTAGTTATAAATGAAGAATCTAAACTTGAATATAAGACTAAAAGAAATTGAATATTTATTTGATGTGAAATAACTCGCTTTAACAATCTTATCTTATATTTGATATGTACAATAATTTGAAATAAATATAATAATTTATTTATTGATCAAAATTATCTTTTTTTAAAATTTATACAATTTAAATTATTAATATAATTTTTAAAATATAATAAAACATATAGATTTAATTCCATAAAATAAACTTCTTTATTTTAAGAGGATTGAATTATTTTATGATAAGAGGAAGATTAATTTTGCTACCAATCCTATCTATTTTTAATATACAAATTGAATATAATATAAAGTAATTATCCTTATATATTATTATCATGATATCTCCAAATCTTATATATCAAACATTTAGCAATCAATAATATTAAAGTAAGCCTTAAGTGTCAGGTGAATCCTTCCCGCTTTCTTCAAATTTCAGAAAGGATGCACCTGGCAGGTCCCCTCGTTTAAACCGAAATGAACCATTTGGTAGACCTAATTGATGCCAGACCACCACCTACACACTGCTAGTTCTTAATCTTTATAATAGCATTCTTTTACTTCTTCCCCGGAAAAATAATTAACTACATGATTTACAATCGTAACATTATAGAATGTTTCCCAAATATTTAATTTGCAAACCTCCAAAATGAAAATTGAAAGCATGAGAAAAAAAAAAAAAAAACAAGGGCAAAACGAAACTAATTTTATATATACTTATTCAGTTATTTGGTTCAACTTCTGATTTTTTTTTATGTCAAAAAGTTGAAGCTGAATTAAACAACTTAGACAAAAAATAAAAGGTTCTTTCTTTAATTTCTAGGAAACCTGAAAAATGCAAGTTTTAAAGTCTAAAACTAAAAATTGTATGATAATTTTTGTTTTTTTTATACAAAGAAAATCACAAATTTAAAGATAAAAAAAATAATATCACTTTTTAAAAGTGATTGTATAAATCGATTGAATTAAATATTAAATTCTTATGGTAATTTATTAGAACATGAGAAATTCATAGAAGAAACATGTTTAATTATTTTAAATAATTTTAATTTGATAATACTTTTCACCATACTCTTCGTTAACAACATCTTTAAAAGTGTAAGCTCCACCTTAGATTAATATATGTCCAATTCGATTCCTAGAAATGAAAATGAATATTAAAATGCGATTTTCCCTTTGGAACAGAACAGTAAATCTTAAGAAATATGCACTGCACTATCAATCTGTCATAACGTGAGAAAAGGTGTCCTGTCACAGATCCTATATAGGACCATTTATCACCAAAGCATCCCTTGAGTTAAAGCATTAATTCAACTGTTCCTTAAAGATAAAGAAAAACACAACAATGTTGGTCTGCCTAATTTCCTTAAAGCATCCAAAAATTGCTTTAATCTTTGATCTGAAGCTATCGAAGAGGATCAGTTCAATAATGCGTAGGCTCCAGCTGATTGAAGAGTAAGTCAATGGACGTAGTTTCTTTTGGTGGAGTCACTGCTATCCAATCATTCCTTCAAAGCCAAGCATAAGTTCTCACAATAGGAATTTGCTATAAGTAGGCAGCTGCAAGTTTTATCAAAAGCACACAATCTGTTATTTCATAGTGTTTTCAACCTTCTTCCTCTGAAATAACAATGGAAGCTAAGAGATTTCTGCTACTTTTCTTCCTTCTCTCCCTCATCTCCATATCTACTGCTGCAACAACTCAAAAAGTTCGGGCCCGGAAGCCTTGCAAGAGCATGGTGTTTTATTTCCATGACATAATTTACAATGGCAAGAATGCGAAGAATGCGACTTCAGCCATCGTAGGTGCACCACAATGGGCCAATAGGACCCTTTTGGCGGGACAAAACCATTTCGGAGATTTAGTAGTGTTTGATGATCCCATTACCTTAGATAACAATTTGCATTCAACCCCAGTTGGTCGTGCACAAGGCTTTTATATCTATGATAAGAAAGACATTTTCACTGCTTGGTTCGGTTTCTCTTTCGTTTTCAATTCTACCGAGCATACGGGAAGCATAAACTTTGCTGGGGCTGATCCATTGATGAACAAGACCAGGGATATCTCAGTAATTGGTGGAACTGGTGACTTCTTCATGGCTAGAGGAGTGGCTACTTTGATGACTGATGCCTTTGAAGGGGAAGTTTACTTTCGTCTTCGAACCGATATTAAATTTTATGAATGTTGGTAACAATTTTTCCTCTTGCGGTACACCAATAACCAATTGTAATTTTCATTTTCCAATCGTCAATTTGTTGTTTCATGACAATGAATGAATTGTACGAGTCTTTATTGTGGTTAAGGCCCCTACTGGCTCTGTCAATTTATTAGACAGAACTTACATGAAATTATTTAAGAAACATTTATGAATTTTTTTAAAGCGATTTAATAAAAAATTTATATAGACAAATTGATAAATTTAATGTGAAGATTAATAATATATAAAATAATTATTAAAAATATTATTTATAATTTAAATTTGATCCATAATATTTAAGAATAAAAATTTTATCAATATTTTTACTAAAAATATTTATTTAATAAATGTATTAAAAATTTTTAAATTTTATATACTTAATTTATATTATAAAATTTTTTAATTTTAATTTTAATTTACTTTTTTATAAAAAATTTAACGAGCTTCAGCTATAAAACTTTATTCAGACTTTTTCCTGGTTTACTTAGAGATAATGTTGTTTTAGTTTTGTCTCTTGGAGGTTGGTGCCTTGGTGGTCCTAGGCTACTCCTTGCTAGGCTCCAAGATGGTGGGGGTAGTAAGAAATTAAGAAGAGAGTTAGGGGCAAATGGGTCTTTAGATTTTTTTTTTTATTCTATACGGGAATGAGGATTTGAATAGCTATACATTAAATATTAAATCAAACTAGCATAATTCCTGCGTTTTGCGGCCGGCTCGAATAGAATGTAATTAAACAAGCACATATTAATCAATAGGAATATGCAAAATTAAATAAAATAGATAATTTAATGAAAAGAAACTCTCCAACCAATCTGGGGAGACAAACAATTTGAATTGTATGTGAGTTTAATATCAAAAATTAAATCCACCAATAATGCATACAAAGATTTTTTTTTTTTTGTTTTATCTTCTAATTTAATTCACTCTTACAAATCATAAAATTCTTCAATAAAAAGAGATAATAAAGAATTTATTTTTTTATCACACAATTAGTCGTGACTGGTACATTACCAGTAGAAGAAAAAAAGTCAAAATAAAACATTAATTGAAAGAGTAAGCTGCTTAAAGAACGACATCAAAATTTTCAACATAAATGCAATTATTTTATTTACTACTTTCAAGAAGACATATTTGCTAATCTATGAATCTCATTTACATTTTTTTTTTTGTCTCTTTTGCATCACCAATAACATTTTAACATAGTTCGAATGTAATTCACATTTTTTTAAAAACAAATGGATGGCATCAATCCCACTAATTATAACTAATATTATCAATAATATTATAATATAAATCATAGAATTATAGTTAAACTAATTAATTAAAAATGTACCTTCCGATTCTTCAATAAAAACCTTATCAAAAAGTATAATATACAAAAAGAGTATTTTAATGAAAGCAATCCGTAAGAACAAAACAACATTACATTTCATAAGCACACAAACAAACAAATTCCTAAATAGCATTCAAACACACAAATACAAAATTTTTAAAAAAAAGTACATTTCCATTACTACAAATCATGATTATCCTAAACAAATGAAAAAAAAAAAAAAAACAACAGGATTCAACGTTTATATTTATTGCCAACTTATTCATATTTCATTAAATTTAATTAAAAATAAAATAATAATTCAAATTCATTAAAATTTAAGATTTAAGAAAATCTTTTTTATCTGCCTCAAATTCACCAAAAGCTTTAAGCCTATCAAGAATTTGTCCCATTGGAGCCAAAAAACATAAAAATGACAACACCAAAACATTGGAAAAAATTAAAACTTAAGCATTTAAAAGACATAAATGTTAGGCTCATGTATTGTACTTATCCCATTGGACATTGTTTTTAAGTTATAGTGATTGTGCATATGTATAGTAATTGTGGACCCTAGGAAAGTTCTTGTCAAATACAAAGGTTTTAATTAGTAAACCTTTAAGGCCATGACTACCAAGTACCAATAACCATTCCCAAATCATTTTGTTGGCTTCGAAAATGTACTCGATTATTGGAAAAAAGAAAATGAAATAATTTGTTACTGTTATAGCAACAAAATGAAAAGTGTGGAAGTTTGTACTATTGCAAATTGAAAGAATGGTTGGAAAAACCATGTAAAGTTGAGCTTTCAACTTAAGCATTTAAAAGACATAAATGTTAGGCTCATATATTGTACTTATCCCATTGGACATTGTTTTTAAGTTATTGTGATTGTGCATCTGTATAGTAATTGTGGACCCTAGGAAAGTTCTTGTCCAATACAAAGGTTTTAATTAGTAAACCTTTAAGGCCATGACTACCAAGTACCAATAACCATTCCCAAATCATTTTGTTGGCTTCGAAAATTTACTCGATTATTGGAAAAAAGAAAATGAAATAATTTGTTAGTGTTATAGCAACAAAATGAAAAGTGTGGGAAGTTTGTACTATTGCAAATTGAAAGAATGGTTGGAAAAACCATGTAAAGTTGAGCTTTCAACTTAAGCATTTAAAAGACATAAATGTTAGGCTCATATATTGTACTTATCCCATTAGATATTGTTTTTAAGTTATTGTGATTGTGCATCTGTATAGTAATTGTGGACCATAGGAAAGTTCTTGTCAAATACAAAGGTTTTAATTAGTAAACCTTTAAGGCCATGATTACCAAGTACCAATAACCATTCCCAAATCATTTTGTTGGCTTCAAAAATTTACTCAATTATTGGAAAAAAGAAAATGAAATAATTTGTTAGTGTTATAGCAACAAAATGAAAAGTGTGGGAAGTTTGTATTATTGCAAATTGAAAGAATGGTTGGAAAAACCATGTAAAGTTGAGCTTTCAACTTAAGCATTTAAAAGACATAAATGTTAGGCTCATGTATTGTATTTATCCCATTGGACATATAATAATTTTTTAAGAATTCTCTAAGTGAGAAATCTTTCTTAAATTTGATCCAAATAGTAGAATAATTTAGATAAAATTTTAATATAAGTAATTGTATTCTTTTTCAAATAAAAATTTGGATTGAAAATATTTGACAATTATCTAAAGATGAGATTCTTAAAAATTTCAAATGGTAAATTTTTAATAAATCTCTATGTGAGAAATTTTCTCTAAATTTGACCCAAATGATGGAATAATTTAGATGAAATTTCAATAAAAATAATTTTCATATTATTTTTTTTTCAAAAAAAAAAAAGAGAATTTCTAAATAGACCAAAATGGTTAAAATTTTAGAAATTCAAAAGAAAAAATATTTTTAATTTGACCCAAATGGTGAAATAATTAGATTTATTTTCAACGAAAATTGATAATAATAAATAATAATAAATAAATCTTTTTTCGACGACAGAGCCTCTTCAAAAAATTAAATAGGGTTCTTGAATGCTTTTGAGGTGATGAAGTATTTTTTAAGAGTTTTATCAGATTGATGGAAACGCTTAAAAATTGTTTCTAATATTATTTTCTTTTAAAAAAAAAGAGAATTTTTAAATAGGCCAAAATGATGAAAATTTTAGAAATTCAAAAGAAAATTTGGTTCAAATGGTGGAATAATTAGATTTATGTTCAACGAAAATTGATAATAATAATAAAAAAAAATAATTTTTTTTTCGACGACAGAGCTTCTTCAAGAAATCAAATAGGATTCTTGAATACTCTTGAGGTGAAAAAGTATTTTTTAAGAGTTCTACCAGATTGATGGAGAATCTTAAAAATTGTTTCTAATATTTAACATAAAATTTAAAACCATTAGACTTCAAACCTTAGGATAAATTTGAAATAATATGGTACCATCTCTTGGATGGACATGTGGGGATGCTATAACCTTCCTCATATCTAATCGAACTCCCGAACCTTATTCTGATTAGTAGACTCGAACTTATTCTTTTAGGGACCTTTAATCAAGCTTAGGGGTTTTTTAAAAAAATAGATTTCTTAAGTGACCAATCACACCTAATAAAAGATTGATGACGATTCTATTTATTTGTTAAATTTAATTATAAATTTTTAGATATATATGTTATGACACATGTATTTCGTATATTTATAAATTTTATCTTATGAATTTTAAATATAAAAAAATCAAAAAAAAAAAAAAAGATGGGAGAGTCACGTGGCCTCCAATGAAGGATTGAAAAAGAGAAAGAAAAACCTCAGGTGATGTGGATAGCCTCTACAAAAATCATTTAAAAAAAAAATTATGCAAAAGCTGGGTACCACGTGGGTATCTCGGCTTTCTCCTTGCCTTTTTACTTCCTATTCTCTTTGCCATTTTTCAGTCTTTATCAATTGTTACAACTCTTCATCGATCTTTGTCCAATGTCCAATCGATCTTTTCTTTCTTTACTTTTTTAATTCACACACAAAAGCTAATAAATTGAGTCATGAAAACGAAACAAAAAGAAGCTACAAATAAAAAATTTAAGAAAGTGCAAAAAAAAAAAAAAAAAGGGGAGTGCCACATGGACAACTCCTTCGTTCAGCATTCTTTGCAAAATTAATAATATGGATGCTCAATGGGAGTTTTCAAAATCAAATGTTAATCATTTCACTTATTTTATTGTTTTTTTTTTTTGTTGCCACAATTTATTTCATTGTTTAATTTAGGTAAGATTTTTTTTCATGTAAATTGGATGTCAAAGATAACATTATTTATTTGTTAGAAGAAGAAATTACCAATAAAAACTGTTGAATCACACAACAAATTAATTCCTTTGGTTTGATTTCAAAGAATCAAGTTAATGGATGTCTATAAACATATGTTAAGACGAGTTAAAATTTTATTTTAGAAAGTATTTCGTTAATTTAGTGCACTATTCTGATCATCAAAATAAAAAATTATATTAATTAAAAACTTTTTTATGCATGATAAATATCAGTGTATCTATAGGCACAAGCTCTTTCACGTTTCCAATAATTTCAAATCGTAATAATTAATTGGATTTGGTGACAACCATTGGTTCATGTTCCTTCAGAATTTGATGCTTTTACCAATCTACATGGCATAATGAAGCTTGGCTTTTTGTTTGTTTGGGTTGGTTGGTGAGTCTAACTAAAGGAGAGATCTATTGCTTTTTCCTAATTGAGAAATGATGGAAATGATGAATAATAATTAATGAAATTAAAATGAAAAAGAAATAAGGATAGTAGTTGAGAAATTGATGAAAAGGAAATTTTTACATACACGATTAAATTTTTTTTCCCCTTTTCAAAGAAAATGAGTTGGGACACCGCTTTGCCTAGTGCCTCTCGTGACGAGGATTCATTTATGCCTTTTATTTTTTACATATGCCTCCAATGATTATGCTTAGTCGTAGAGATGAAGTTATCGAAAATAGAGGGTAGCATTACTTCGGCGTAGAAAACACTCATTTATTTTTTATTATGTCGACGTAGAAAACATTCATTTATTTTTTGTTATGTGCATGCTTATAAAAATTTATATTTAATATACTGTCAGTATATAAATTTTATATATTATTAATAAATCAGATTATTATAACTCATTAATAAGATGAATTTGATGATAATACGTAATTAATCACAGTATAGATCACTTTAAGTCAATATTTGCACTTAAAGATTTGTATAAATCTAATGTAAATAAATTTATAAACTATGTAAACTATGTATATTTTTTATGTAGTGTTAGAACTCTTAATTATGTAATCAAAATTTGATATCTGATTACCTCAAATATTAAAAAAAATTCTATATATATCGGCCTTGGAGTAGCCAATTAATCCTAGAAAGCATACAAGAAATGGCTGCTACAAGACTCATTGCAACTCTTGTGCTTTCTTTCCTCCTCCTCTCTAGCTCCGATGCCACTCATAGGAAGAAAATCCGATCGCGTCGGCCTTGTAAACAGATGGTGTTTTACTTCCATGACATTCTTTACAATGGCAAGAATGGCAAGAATGCAACTTCAGCCATAGTGGGTGCACCTGCTGGGGCCAACAGAACAACCTTGGCAGGACAAAACCATTTTGGTAACTTGGTTGTGTTTGATGACCCCATTACATTAGATAACAATCTACATTCAATCCCAGTTGGACGTGCTCAAGGCTTTTATCTCTATGACAGGAAAGATTTTTTCACAGCTTGGCTAGGATTTTCCTTTGTATTCAATTCTACTCGGCACAAAGGAAGTATAACCTTTGCGGGGCCTGATCCTCTGAACAAAACTAGGGATATCTCGGTGATTGGTGGAACCGGAGATTTCTTTATGGCTCGAGGGATAGCCACTTTGATGACTAATGCAGTTGAAGGGGAGGCTTATTTCAGGCTCCAAGTTGATATTAAGTTACTTGAATGTTGGTAACCACTAACGAGTGTTCTTGTCACTTGTGGTCGGTTTCTATATGTTGTTTGTTTGCTGCAATTTTTTTTTTTTTCATTTGGTGTTTCAATTTTCATCTTATCCATTTTATTCAAGTTTAACAATTTGGTTTGTTTGTAACTTGTAATTTTCTGTATGTTTGGTTGCGGGCAACTTTTTTATTTAGTGTTTCAGTTTTCAAAGTTTTTTTGCCAGATACTTTATTCAAGTTTTGAGATGCTGATAATCTTACCGTATTTTAATCTATTAATAAAATGCTAAATTTTATTTTAATGATTAAATTTTTTATAAATAAAAAAAATTATAATTTAAGTTTAAAAAAATCATAAATGTTAAGATTTGAATTTTAAATTTATTGAATATCATCAAAATAATTGTATGAAGCAATCTCAATAGCCAAATTAATAATCTCACGTTTATAATAAAAAAAAGTTTGCTAACTTAAACTTGCAATTATTATCTATATCTCATGCAATTATTTATTAAGCTAAAATAGCCTTAAAATTTTACAAATCTCGACTATAGACGCATGGGTATGATTTTAAGCGCATTTTGATTTAGGGCATTTGTGAACCCAAAGGTCCCTGACCTTTACAAAAGCCCATGGCTATTAATCCAATCATCTCGCAAAGCGACAAGCAATCTGGACATGGACCCAAGATTAAGCCCAGGCAGCGATTTCAAGAGTTGATAGTTGACGTGAAGCGAAGATAACCGCTGAATTCGTTTTGGCGCTATTCTCCTACTAACTTATCCATCCATTTATCTATGGACGCGATCATTCATTTCAAAAGCCAAAACGAGAACCAGAAGTTAACAGAGACAGAAGCAGAGAGCTGCTGCCTGAGAGTGGGAGAGAATGCGAGGCATAACGCTCAGGGAGAGCGGATTGGTTGCTCATCCACTGTTGCTTCCATGTCCTAGACCTCCCAACTCTTTCACCTCTCATTTGCTTTCTTTGAATGTTAATTCTCTCGCCAAGAAGCACGCCTCCAAGCTCTCTTCTCGCCACCAAACCCTTCTCTTCTCCAGGTATACTTTCATTTTCATTTTAACCCATTTTAGAGGTCATTTCTCTGTACAACTTTTTCTTTTGAACCCTGCCTGTCTACTTCTACTTAAAAAGCAAATTGTGAACCCAAAGCAACGGGGCTGCTGGCGGAACATGCTTGTAGTGTAACTTATGGGTTGTTGATCCGGGTAGTTTTAGTATCTGTCAGGTGGGGGAAAGGATGGCTATGTCAATTTGAAATTACATAATTGCTCGAAGAAAAAGAAAAGCACCGATATATTTCTGACTGAAGAAACACAAATAATTTGAACTTCACTCTCTCTATATTAAGAGCCAAAATGCAGTGAAAATGGTTGTGAGTGGAGAAGGCATTTCAATTATAGATTTAAGAAGAATTTATTGTATGCAGGTGTTTTAGAAATTGGTTTGTAAGCACATGTGAGGAGTTTGGTGGTCTTCGGAAAAAGGTTGCTGCACATCAGCATGGCCTGGTAAGGTTTCTTAAATCAAGTCTCTTTTTTCTTCTTTGGTTAATGAATTTTAACTACTATTTGGATAAGTTTAAATACAGTACTGTTATGATATTCAGTTTGGGAGGATAGAATGTGAAGTTTAACAAAATCATGCCTTTAATGAAAAATATGGTATTTCTTCTTTTATGATATGATTCAAAAGCCTAATGTTGTCTTTTTCCTTTTGGATGTTATAATCAGGAAAGAAGTTGTTTGTGTATTCTCTTAATAATTGTAACAATTAGCTCTTTTTATCAGTTAATGTTGATGACTGATCCATCATATTTGCGATTGAAATAGTTTACATAGCATTTCTGTGGCTTCTGTCTGCAATATATGAGTTCTTCTCTTGGCTAACAAGTTGTTTATATGTACTTATCCAAGTGTTTTATTTCCTACCAGGAATATAAGTTTGTTGATAGCAAGAACAGGGAAGAGATTATAGCATTGGGGCACAAATCCAAGGATCATGCACCTGTGAACAATAACATGATAAGGGGAAATTATATTGCTACAGATTTGGCAGTCTCAAATACATTGTTTAACAATCTGCTAAAGTTTATGGTTCTTTTTGTGTTGCTCACATTTGAAGGCTCACAATCAGCAGTTGCCCTCTCAGATATTGCTAGTGGCTTGCAGTCAATTCCTTATGTAGGAGACCTTGGTGATATTAGCACAGGTTTTGCTTCAGTGAGGAAAATTTCCCTGTAACTTTTATATATGATACTTTTATTGTTTAAATTAAGGCCTATGTTGGTGATTCAGCTTCATTATGGTGAAGCTTAAAGTAACTCTTCTTTTAACTGCTTAGCCCTTAACACGCTTCACTGTTCTTTAGAGTTAATGTTTAGGCAACTGATCTTTTCAATCTGAGCATATGACTATTGTAACTGGTGTGGCATTGTTAGTCCTTTAGTTCTTATTCCCCCTCTTAGTTGTAAACATCAATTACTTCCTAATTCACTATGCTTTGCAAAGTAAGTTCAGAAGGAAAATGAAAGAAGGAAAACACTCGATTTTTCTTTTCATAGAATCAAGTTTTCGCACATATGAGAACGCATCTTGAACTACAGTAGTTGAGATATTTTCTTTCTATTGCAGGCATTCTTGCTGATATTTTTCTCAGAACTAGGAGATAAAACCTTTTTCATTGCGGTAAGAGTGAATTCTTTTTAGCAGTATTTTATTAGTATTGAGAAAGATTCTGTGAATGATCTTTTCTTCTGAAGCTATTTTATAAATGGCATCAAATTATGTAAACTTTACTTGTCTAGACAGATCCATATCTGTTTCTAGAAAGCATAAATTTTGTATCTTATTTTTTTATTGAGATAACTTAAAATCTGTCATTTACTGTTGCCATTTTTGGCTGGGCATGTTATGGTCAGAAATATTTTTCTCACTGCTAACAGAAGATATATTTTTTAACTCATTTATTTTTCAATATTTAACCATTTTCTTTTCCATTAGCATATGTATATAGATTCCTTAGTTTTCTTACTGAAGATAGACTGTTGAATGCACCCTGATTTGGATGTTTTTATGCAGGCACTTTTAGCTGCTAGAAACTCTGCTGCTGTAGTTTTCATTGGGACTTTTGGTGCACTTGCGTATGTTGTTCTGCCCATGCATGGTGATTTAGAAGTCCTTTGCATTTTTTAATTTCATTAGATGAGATTCCTCATAGGTGTGTGCTTCTCTGGGAAAAGACGTTGAAATGTCTTTTTAAATAATTGAAGTGTTTATCTATTATGTACAGGGCAATGACAATCATATCTGTTGTTCTCGGAAGAACTTTTCACTATGTTGATGAAATACTTCCATTCAGGTTTCTCCCTTGTGATTTTTATGCGTATTATAAATGTGGGCTGACAAAATTCAATTATCCCAAGGCAGTGTGCATATCATGATTAAATGTATATTGTAATGCTACTAAATGCAACAAATGTGTATAATCTTGAGACATTTCCTAATCAGTTTCTACACGGATATTTGAAATGTAAAGTTAAATCAATGGAAGAGATAAAATGTTCTATTCTGCTGAAGTTTAAATCAGTGCATCATTACACCTTTAAACAATTATATAGTTCAAAAGAGCTACGATGATTATGCAAATTAGATTATGTTCAAAATATCTTTGGTCAGGTAGTTGTCTTGATGTGATCTTTAGTATGGTTGGTTTATAAGTTTTTTTTCTAACATCAGACTATTAATGCCCAGGTTTGGTGAGGCTGATCTGCCTATTGATGATATTGCTGCAGTTTGCCTTCTGGTATATTATCTCCTAACTTTTTATTAGGCTTTAGCAGTGGGGTGAAGATGGGGAAAGCACATTATATACTCAGAAATGTGCTATAGGGAAACCTGTAGTTTGGAATTTCTTTTCCAACTGACATTAGCAGAAGAGTTAGCGCCACTTCACAAAATTGCAGGTATACTTTGGAGTTTCAACGTTGCTTGATGCTGCTTCAAGTGATAATCAAAAAGCAGAAAATGAACAAAAGGAGGTCAAACTACCACTTGTTTATATGCTGTCTTAAGAAGCTTGCTGAGCTTCCTTACATATTTAAGCTCCAATATTGGTCCTCTTTTCAAGTAAATTTTCAAGTAAATTATTTCATTCCATAGTTAATTAAATGACTTTCACATCTTATTGTATCAAACAGGCAGAACTAGCAGTTTCAGAATTTTCTGGAAATGGAGCTGGGATCTTAGCTGCTGCTAATACTGTTATTGGCACTTTCCTCTTAGTTTTTGTTGCTGAGTGGGGTGATAAATCATTCTTTTCCACAATAGGTCAGTGCCGATGCGGCAATTCACATTTATCATACCTTCTTTGCTACATTAGAATGGATCATTGTTCTCTTGTTACACATGCTTAACACAAGATCATTATCATTTATATCTATCTTATGATGGCTAATTTAATGATGTGCTAATTGAGAATGACTTGTTTAGATCAAAACAAAGTAGGTGGATTTTGTGATGCATTTTAGTGTGGAAAAGAATTTTCTGTGCATTTACTTTCCATTATATATCTCAAGGCAGATGCATCTCTAGTCTTAACAACTCAAGTTAATGGCCAAGAGAAAAATACAAGTTGATTACGTAAACTCTGAAAGATTATGGAAAAGGGAATTCTTTTCTATTCTTCTATTGAAAAATGCTTTCATATTCTAAATGCAGAATTTCAGGGCTAAATATTATGTAAAAGCTATCTAAATTTGCCTGAAATCTGTTATTTGTGAATTCCAAAGCACTTGGTTTTTTCTCCTTTTCTTGCTGTCTGGTGGTTTGAGACTAAGATGTTGAGATGTTTAGGAATTTTCAGTCAGGATTATCTAATCATACAAGTTTTAGCTGGTGAATTTCTCAAGCCAGAGTCAAGTCTTTCGCACTCATTCTAACAAGCAAAACTGCCTCTGTATCAAGTATTTACATAATTCCTATCTTCTCATTCAGCACTAGCAGCAGCCTCTTCACCTCTTGGAGTCATTGGAGGCGCACTGGCTGGTCATGGTGTTGCTACTCTGGTAATTTATAATTGACAAAAAAGGATAAACACAAAAATAGTCTTTGTTTGCGGTGACATTCTACAAGCTAGAATATTTGCAAAAATTTCAAGTTTACAAGAAAACAGGAAAACAAATTTTTTTTTTTGAACACATGCTTTGAAAATTTTGTTTTGATATTAGAATATGTAAAGTGAATTTACTAGACTTTGATAGTGCTACTTCTACAGATCTTTTCTAATATGTAAAAAGCAATTGCAGAATATAAATATATAAGTAAAAATTGCTTGGATGTGTTAGCTGAATAACCAACTTACTCCAGATATCAGGACCTTTTTTAATCCAATTAAAATTTCCACTTTTTCTCTTTAGATTTTGATACAGAAACAAAGAGAGACTTGATTGACTTGCAACTTCTTTCTACAGCTTGCGGTTCTGGGAGGATCTTTGCTGGGAACATTCTTATCAGAGAAGGTAAATTTTTGAACTTTCAACCTTCTTCATTCATTCATAAAACCACATCCTAGAGTATTTCTTGTTCCTAATTGGTTTCCACAGTTTCCCCTTGTATTGCAATTTAATTCTAACCAGGCAAAGAGCATCGGAGGCCTTATTTCTACTGCATATGTGGAATTACAAATCTCTAACTTGATCTTATGACGTACAAATAATTTTATTCTTAAGCTTAAAAATTGAATCTTCCTTACAGTCAATGCTTCAAGATATTCCATATGGACTTAGAACATTTCTCATCGAGTTTAGAGTGATTTCAAACTTACCAGCACCCAACCTTGTCTGATTCCTTTCCTCATCAAGCCTATTAATTAGATTATTCTAAACTATTGTTTTGTTAGAAATACAAGGTGGCCATAAATCTCCTTACGGATCTAGTCAATAATGATCTTTATTTTCTGTGGAATATATTTAGAGTATGCAATGAAAGTTTGGTTTGAGCCAGTTATCACTATATTATCTAGCCAACAGATTTATTCCTTGGTATAAATCGTCTAGTCCAAGAACCTAAAGTCTGCATCATCATGGTGTTTGTACCTTTAAAAGTTGCATTGGTTGGACCAACATGTTCAGGCTACCACGTAGTGTCATCCCATATGACTAATACTGAGTTTGGAATATCTAGACAGTGGGGGCTGTGCGGATTGTGCGCTATTGGGACATCCTTCTTCCTTGCCCTTTCAATGCAACTGCTAACTTTAAGCAGTGAAGCATATTAAGCTTTCTGATATGCATTTCATCCATCAAATGCAACTGAACTCTTCTTTTGATTCTTGTGCAGGCCATTGCCTACATCGGTGGTACTCTCTTTCTTGTCTTTGCTGTTGTAACATTGATTGAGATTGTGAATTAGAGGTTGGAGTTAGAAACTAAAATCACATTTTTGTGCACTTATCTACTAAGACTTGTTCTTTGCTTCTGTTATTGATGACATCTACATATATCATGGATTTATTACATACTGAATCAAATCATGAGCTGAAACATGAGTGGATAATTGCATCCTGTATGATTTTTCTTGTTGCTGAAGATCTGTAATTGGTGGCTGATATAACACAGACTGTGCTTGGTACAATTGAAAAGTGGAAAGTTGGAAAGAGGTGAATGGAAAAGTGGAAGGAATATAAATTTCAAGTGTGTTTGGTACGAAAAAAAAAAAAGAGGAAAGAAAATAAGAAAGATTATCATTTTTCACACTCATTAACAAAACCAAATCACTTCACTTCAAATTGAAAAGAAAAAAATGAGAGAAAATGAAAGAGATGTGAACATTTATTACATATTTACAAAATTATCTATATATTTCTTTTTCATTATAATTTATAAAAGGTTATAACAGTAAAATTATATAATTTTTACTTTCTTTTCTTTCATTTATCAATTCTACCAAACAATAAATTTTAAAAAAAATTACGTTTTTTTTAACTTTTCTATTTTTTCAGCCAAACACCAATAAAAAAATATTTTTTATTATTTAATTTTTTTTTCTCTTCTAATTTTTTATCTTTTTATTTTTCTTTTCACCCTGCAAGCAAAGGCAAACAAAGGCAAACGAGAACTTCAAAAGGCCAAGCAGGGCAAAGTTGGGTCAAAAGTTTAGGCCTTTTTTCCTCGCACTTTCTTTAACTCTTCAGGGGGTGGGGTAACATTAACAATGTATACACAGTTCACATTGTCAGGATTCTACTACCCGGGGATTCTACTACCCGGAGAGCTCGGAACTGAAGCCGTGTTAGTTACCAGAGCCTTGGTCGTACTACCTGTCGCTGTGTATAAATGGTATCAGACCTTACAACTTGCCAAGATAGTGAGAAGAAAAGTATGTTTCTAAAGTTTTGATTATTTAAATTGGAAAAGGAAAAGCCAAAAGAGAGTCTTACTTTCATAGCAACTCTAGTTCTCAACCTTCTTCCTCCAGATCTTCTTTTAGTTTGTCCTCCCCTCAATCTACTGTACTTAAAAAGTCCTCATCTTCTAAGCTTAAGCTCTTATATGAAGTAGATTATATTCCAGAAGAAAAGAAAACCCAACAAACAGTTCTACCTCTTGTAAATCCTTATACAGTTTTCTCAAACTCCTCCCCTTCTCTTACTAGATCTTTAAAAACTCTTTTAAAACTCAAATATCCAGCTCCAAAAGAGTATGTTCAAGCCACAAACTTTGATCAATGTATTCTTCCAGCAGGACCTCAAGAGCACTTTGTTACTCTTCAGATCCCAGAAGAATTTTCTCACTAGTGGTCAGAACAAGGATACACTCACATTCATTTTGGTGCTATCAGAATCGCCTTAACCTTTTATGGCAGAAATGGAATTCTTGTATGTACCAGAATGGCCTTATTGGACACCAGATTTAAAGATTACAAGCATGCAGTCCTTGAAATCGTCGAGACGACACTCAATGCAGGAACTGTCTTTTTCACAGTCTTTCCAAATTACAATATGTCTTTTCATGATCTAACCATGTTAGATGCTTTAAAAGTTCAAGTCCAGATCGTAGGCACAGAAATGAAAGGCCTCCAGGCAATCCTTCACTACCAGATGGCATATAGAGTTCAAGATCATGCCATTAACTTGCCTCTTTCACATTCCAGTGATGCAGTCTTTGTTAAAATTGAAACAGCAGACAGAACTCCTAAACATGTTCATATTCCAAAACAGATTTCCAATGAAGAACTTGCCACCCTTCTCCCAAAGACGTGGACGACAAGTTATCAAAAGATTTGGAAGCAAGATGAACCAATCGAACATTTTGATCCAACCTACAAGACAAACCAGGATGGTACTGTCACAATTGAATTTGATCACAGCAAAGGAAAGGATGTTCCTCCTCCAACAATCTTTCCAACATAATTTATGATGCAAAGATGCCATGCTGATCTCCTTGATGTTTCAGTCACACACTTTCAGTCCAATGGAAATCCCATGTATGCGTATAGATATCCAAAAGGACATTGCTATTGGGACATAAATTGTCAATACAAAGAATGCCAGATCGATCAGATAAAAGCTTCCTGGATGATGATGATATTCCAAAGAAGCAAAAAAAGAAAAAGTCTTCTCAACAAAAGCTCAAAGAAAGATATGAAAATGGAGACCCTAAAGTTGATCTCCTTGGTGAACCCTCAGGAAAGTTTGACTACTATGTCATCTATCCTAAGAAAGACAAACCACCTTCTCAAACCTACTCAAATCAACCTACACAAAAACCAGCTTCCTCCCAAAATTCCACTAAACCTTTACCCACACCTTTACCACAAATCTCCATGATGCAACCAACCTACCCAAGCTCAAATTTTTCTCTTTTTGAAGAATTTCATAAAGACCAATACAAACACATTCCAAAAATCCTCACTCCCACTGACAGAGATGAATATGGAAACCAAAAAGTGTTTCTCGTGCTGAAGCAGTTTTAAACTGGTAAACTGAAAATTCTCTCTAGCAAAATTCTTACTTGCACAGAATTGAACATAAGTTGGACCAAGTCAGTCAACATTTTGATCAGAGCCTTGTCAATCTCTAAAATATTATTCTTGAAATTCAGTCAAGGATAATCACACTTGATCAAGAACTCAGATACATGGCTGAAACCAACACTAGTATCACTTATGCTTTCACTGAACGAGAGAAAGAAATGAAGAGCCTAAAGATTCAACTTGTAGACCTTCAAAATCAGTTTCGACAGAAACAACAACAACAACAAGCAGCTTCGAGTTACAACATCTTCACACCATATCACACTGGTATGCATGATACTCCTTACCAAGCCTATACTCCTCCTCCCTTTCAACCCTATAATCCTCCAACCTCATCTCCAAAACCTTTTTTCACACCTTTTCAGTATAAACCTCCCCCAACATCTATTCCAACATCCTCACAACCAACACAATACTTCACTCCTCTCTCAGAACAACCAGACCAACTCTCTTTTGGTACAACTGAAAAATGGATTCACAGATTTTGAGAAAATAATCAGTTGATCCAAAACCCAAAAGAGTAGCAGAACAATCACTTTTTCAACCTTCAAAACCCAAACCAAGCTCAAGTTTCACACCTCAAAACCCTACACCACAACCAACCCAAAAACCTGTACAATTAATGATTTTTCCTACACAAACCCTTCCAGAAATACTTCACCAGATGGCACAAGATAACCTTTCTCAGTTCTTTATTGAAGATATTTTTTCCTCTACCTTTGAGACTGAATCTCACATGGATACTATCAAATCAGATGAATCAGTTGAAATAGATGATACTGATGACTCAGATGAAATGATGCTCCCGCAGATTTTCATGACAGAACCAACAGTTGAAGTTTCAGATGATACTCCAGAAGTCCATAACCCTGATGCAATGGATGCTGAACAATACCCTCTTCCACAACAATCACATGCTCCTCCTTCAACATCAAAATTCTCAATTTTTATCATTGATAATGTTCCTCATTCAAAATGGCCCTCAAGATTTCAAGAATTCTTAGCATGGGGACTTGTTGAATTGAATTCTCATCCCAATGTTACGATGAACACAATTTTGATCAGATTTATTTCCAGACGAGTTAGAATCCTGAAAAATTTTTGGGACAACATTGGTGAATACAGACAACTCAAGTTTCTTCAATGCCCAACAATCACAGACGCTGTCTCTCAATTTGTAGCAATCTTTTATGGACAAGAAACTCACAGATTAGAAAAGATCAGAGAGCAATTCTTTAGATTAAAATGTTGTTCTCTCCATTCAAAAGACCTTGACAGACACTATCAATAATTCTTTCAGTATTTTTACATACTTGGTGGATTCGATGATGTCAACTTAAAGCAAGCATTTTTTAATTCTGTTCCAAAAAAACTTATCCAGCAAACAAGAACCCAGTTGAACCTTAGATCCCTTATGTTAAATCTATGACCTTTGGAGACATCTACAAGATGATGCTAAAAGCCCTTAATAAGATTTGTAAAGAGCACAAATACATCAAAACCTTGGTGCACAACTCCAAAAAGCTTGAAAAGCCCTGTTCTTACTCCTCCTCAGGACTTCAAATCAAATGTTCCTCTAAAGATCCCACATGTTTTTGCAGTAACAAGAAAAAAAAGCATTTCAGAAGATTCAGACCTTTCAGACCTCCACAAATCTTCAGACCTAGACACAAAAAATTTTTCAAATATGCTGATAAACCCAGAAGATTTCAAAGATTCAAATTTACAAGAAAGAAGAAAGACCCAAAGATCAAAAGCTCAAAATATTTTCTCTGTGGAAAACCAAGACATTTCTCAAAGAACTACCCAAAGTTAGACAAAAAATCAGTCAAGATGATCCAAGACATTGCTACTATCTCAGGTATCAATCTCTCAGATGATGATCTTGAATCAATTTTCTCCCTTGATGATGAGCAGAATGAAAGATCCTTGTTTATGATAAAGCAATTTGATGATGATGAGTATGCAGATTCAGACTACTTAGAATACTCAGATGATTTCACAGATGATCAATGTTATGAGTATATGTCAGTTCAAGAACTCTAAAAAATCCAAACCATTTAACCTCCAAAGTTACCCTTAGCTCCAGTACAGATCTTCCCTCACAAACATTCTCCTCCTATAATAGGTACAGCTTTCTTTGATACTGGTGCAGCCCAAACCATAGCAAACCCTCTTGTTTTACCCAAATACTTTTGGACCAAACAAAAAATCTTCTTCAAAATCGCTGATAAAAATATATTTTCTACAGACTTTGTCAGCAACCCTGTTACCCTTCAAATCTTTCCAGGATGTCGAATAACTCAAAAGATTTTAGGATCTTCACTTCTCCAGAAAGACCTTATTATTGGTTTCGATATCATTACCAGTATACCAGGTTTAAAGCTTAGTAGAAATGATATCAAGTTTGAAAGTTATTTCAGACTTTGGAAAAACCTTCCCAACCTCTTCACCCTTACCCTTCAACCAGATATTTTTCAAGATTTCAAACACAAGTTCATTCACTTTTCATGTGCAGAAAC